TTCTGGGACTTGCTTCTTCCTCTCATCATTATCATAATAAGATTCATCCATGTGTTACGTGTAATTTGGTTCATTAGTTTTCATTGATATTGAATATTTCTGCGGTTATGCTACAGTTTATTCATACTTCTGTCAATGGGCATCTGGATTATTTCCAGACTTTTGCTATCATTGACAGGGCTGCTCTGTGTTTTCTGGTGCACATTAGCTAAACTTCTCTTGGGTAAACACCTTGGAGTGGAATTGCTGGTTTATTGTGTGTGCAAATATTCAACTGTATAGATAATGCTAAATTGTTTTCCAAAGTGATTATTCCAAGTTACATTCCATTAGCAATGTGTGAGAGCCCATTGATCTACAATCTCTGTAATACTTGGTATTGTCAATGTTTTGGTTTTGCCCATTGAATGAATGTAAAATAACTTTCTTGCTCCTTTTTCACGTTTCCCTGATTACTGGTTGCTTTAAGCTTCACATTTTATGCTTTTTGTTGTTACATGTTTTCTATTCCATGAAATGCCTATTCAGGTGTTTTGTCCATTTTTCATTTCTTTTTGTATCTTTGTTATTAACTTATAAGAGTTCTTCACTTATAAATAATATCAAAATTTCAATCTGTTTTTTCTTTTAAGTGTGTTTGTGATGGTTTAAGAAATCATTTTCTACCGTAAGGTTAGAAAGACATCCATCTATATTTTTCTCTTAAAATTTTAAACTTTATCTCAACAGCACATCACCACTTCTAGTCAACATTGGATAGGAGTTTCTAACCAGTTCTGTAGACAAAGGAATGAATTAAAAGTAGTAAGAATAGGAAAGGAGAAAAAAAAACACCTGTCATTTTCAGCTGATATAATTGTCTACTTGAAATTCCCCAAAACTGAGTAAACAAATTATAATAGTAGGGGGTTGAGCAAGGTAGCCAAACATAAGATCAATACACAAAAGTTGATTACACTTCTGTAAACCAGAAACAAATAATTAGAATAATGATAACCCTGAATGACGCCATTTACAATAACAGTTAAAAATATAAAGTACAATATTTAGGAATAAAACTAACAATAGATGTGCAAAACTTGTATATAGAAAACTATAAAACTTTTTTGAAGGATGTTAAAAAAGACTAATAAGTAGAGAAGTCTCCTATGTTCATCATGGGAAGATGTCATAAAGACTTTAATTCTTCCTACACAGATCTATAGATTTAACGTAACTCCAGTCAAAATCCCAAAGGATTCTTTGTGTAACTCAATAAAGGTCCAAAAATAGTCAAAATACCTCTTTAAAAAATAACATGAAAAACGAGTTGTTCTTCCAGATATATGGGCTTATAGGCCTATATTAATTAAGATGTGTTACTCACACAGGAGAGATAAATTGGTGCATGAAGTAGAATATAGAGTTCAACAAAACACCCATGCACATAAAGAACTTTGATGTTAGATAGAGGCGGCATGGAAAATCACTTGGGAAAGGAGTTACTACTCAATAGTTACAGCTGGGAAAGTGGTTATCTACATGGAAAAAGCATGAAAATTAATCTCTACCACACATTATACATGAAACAACTTTCTGTGGATTAAGAATTTAAATGGCAGAGGCAAAGATTTAAAACTTTCAGTAGAGTTCATTTGTTTTAAAGAAAGTAAAATAATGTAACATTTCTACATACCCAAATTTTTTTTTTTTTTTTTTATTAATGTTATGATAGATTACAACCTTGTGAGATTTCAGTTGTACATTTTTGTTAGTCATGTTGTGGGTACACCACTTCCCCCTCCGTACCCTCCCCCCCCCCCCTTTTCCCTGGTAACCACCGATCAGATCTCCTTATCAATATGCTAATTTCCACCTATGAGTGGAGTCATATAGAGTTCGTCTTTCTCTGACTGACTTATTTCGCTTAACATAATGCCCTCGAGGTCCATCCACATTGTTGTGAATGGGCCAATTTCGTCTTTTTTTATGGCTGAGTAGTATTCCATTGTGTATATATACCACATCTTCTTTATCCAATCATCAGTTTCTGGGCATGTAGGCTGGTTCCACGTCTTGGCTATTGTAAATAATGCTGCGATGAACATAGGGGTGCAACGGACTCTTGAGATATCTGATATCAGGTTCTTAGGATAGATACCCAGTAATGGGATGGCTGGGTCATAGGGTATTTCTATTTTTAACTTTTTGAGAAATCTCCATACTGTTTTCCATAGTGGCTGTACCAGTTTGCATTCCCACCAACAGTGTATGAGGGTTCCTCTTTCTCCACAACCTCTCCAACATTTGTCGTTCTTGGTTTTGGATGTTTTTGCCAATCTAACGGGGTAAGGTGATATCTTAGTGTAGTTTTGATTTGCATTTCCCTGATGATTAGCGATGATGAACATCTTTTCATGTGTCTATTGGCCATATTCATATCTTCTTTTGAGAAATGTCTGTTCATGTCCTCTGCCCATTTTTTGATCGGGTTGTTTGTTTTTTTGTTGTTAAGCAGTGTGAGTTCTTTGTATATTATGGAGATTAACCCTTTGTCGGATAAGTGGCTTGTAAATATTTTTTCCCAATTAGTGAGCTGTTTTTTTGTTTCAATCCTGTTTTCCCTTGCCTTGAAGAAGCTCTTTAGTCTGATGAAGTCCCATTTGTTTATTCTTTCTATTGTTTCCCTCAACTGAGGAGTTACAGTGTCCGAAAAGATTCTTTTGAAACTGATGTCAAAGAGTGTACTGCCTATATTCTCTTCCAAAAGACTTATTGTCTCAGGCCTAATCTTTAGGTCTTTGATCCATTTTGAGTTTATTTTGGTGTGTGGTGAAAAAGAATGGTCAATTTTCAATCTTTTGCATGTGGCTGTCCAGTTTTCC